TCAAGTCCTCCAACGCCCAAAACAGGGAACCAACAAACACAGTTAGTGTACACACAGACAAACACACACACACACAATACCAGTCACGGGATCGAATCCCGGAAAGCACAAAACAGGCAACAACAAAATTAGTGTACAGCCCGCATCTCCCTGCAATTCATTGCATTTGTCAGCGCTGCTCGTCTTTTCAAGCACTGCTTCCTCCTCCTCTTCGGCGGGCTGCACCTGCAAACGTCCCCGCGTCCGTGTCCCCCTTCCATTTCCAGCCTCCTCCTCTTCCACGGGCGCCTTTCGTGGTCGTCCCCACTTTCTTGTCGCACGTGTGGGTGCACCAACCCCTTCCAAATCTCCACCTTCCGCATCCTCAACTTCCTCGTCACTTGTCCCCCCATGAGTCGCAGCGTCCTTTCGAGGTCTCCCTCTCCCTCGTTTCGCGGGTACGGAGGGTGGTGCACACGCAGCAGCCCGCGCAGCTTTGTACTTGTTGGCATGCTCGAGGGTCATGGTCCTGGTAGCCTGATCCAAGTCATGCAAATGTTGTCGGGCCAAAAACTTGGAAGCTTTCGTTGCCTTCCTCCATGACTCGTCAAGCTCCCTCTCGAGCTTGAACAACTCGCTGCGCAGCCGACGATGCTGAACTGTGACCTCCTCCGCAACAGCCGTTTGTTGCGCTTGGACAGGAATGTCCTCCTCGTCGGAGCCGGAGTCGTCATTCTCACCTTCGTCGTGGACCGAATGTGTTCCGCGCAAGCGGGCACGCCACTCCCCCAACCGCAGGCATGCATCCGACGCCATCTCATCTCGTGTGAGATCTTCCACCGGCTCATTCTCTTCCCACTTCGCCGCATCGCCAGCCTTCGGTTTCTTGGTCAAGAAGTCCAACAAGTGCTGGTTCCATCTGTTGAAAACCAGCGTGCTTAGCTTGGCGGCGCCAAGATTGTTGCGGAGACGGCTGTGAATCCGTTCGAACAAGCTCCAATTCCTCTCRCAACTAGAGGAGGAGGAGCCTTGTCCAAGGAGCCGAACGGCTTGCTTTTGGAGGATGGGCATGTCGCTGCACCACTTCCGCCACCACCTCACCAGCTGCATCGTACGGGCTTGTGTCCTTGCATTTTTGGTAGTGTGCCTCCCAGTGCCCTCGATCCAAGAACAGACCTCCGCGTCGACCTCCCTGTACGCAGCCTCCTTGCACCACGAGTAAAGCCATGTCCAAAACCCGTCCACAATCTCTGCATCGGATTCCGCCCCCAACCCTCTGTACTCCGGATCCAAAAACAGCGCAGCACAATGCAGTGGTGAAGTCATTGTATTCCAGCGCCGCATTATTATACCCTCTAGCTCATCCTTTTCTGCTTCCGTGAAGTGCCTGCTCTCCCTCAGTTTCTCCACAGCGCTGTCCATACGGGCGTACACCTTACTGATGGTGGGACCCGCGCCGTCGACCTTCTTCAGAAGCTTGAGGAGGTTTTTGGACGTTTGCATCACCTTCTCGATATCTGCCCAGAAGGTGTCGTCGAAGATGGCATGTGTCACCCTCACGAACAGTTCGTGTTGCGAAGTGTGCACAATCGCTGGCTTCCAATCATCGTCCGTCAAACACGCTCGCAATGGCAAGTACAACCCCTGTAGGCTCGACAACATGATGAAGTTCGTGGCAAACCGGGTCGCACCCGTTTTTGCCACGACGCTGCCATTGGAGTAGTGGAGGAGGAGATCCCGCACCCGCGAAAGGTTCGTGAAGAACTTTGCTACCTCCAACGCCCTTTTAATAACTTCGCCCACCCACATGATCTTCGCGAAAGACTCGAAAATGAGGTCGAGCGAGTGAGTTGTGCATGGGACCGAGAAGATGTGCGGGTGATCCGCTTCCACCATTCGCCCCGCAGCTACACAAACGGCAGCATTGTCCATAACGACCCCCACCACTGCCTCCGCACCTATCTCCTCTATTGCCCTCTTCAAAATGCCATAGTATGCCGAGGCGCCTTTGTTGTGCCCTGACATGCACACACTTCGCCAGAAGATAGAGCCCTTCGGGAAGGAGACCATCACATTGATGTGTGGTCTTTGTCGGCGATCTGTCCAACCATCAAGCTGCAACATGCAGCCAGTGGTTGGCCACTCCTGCCGCAGCTCCTCCACCCTCATAGCGACCCTCCCCCTCGTCACTTTAACCCTCTTTGTCCTTGCACTCTCGAATTTCGCGTACCGGAATCCTTAGGGCGCATTCATGAGTGCATGCACCATTCTGTCCCAGTACTCGCTCCGCATCATATTGAATGGGATGCATTCTGCCGTCATCCAGTCGTCCATTGTGCGGCAGCACTGTCCTCCATCGTTGTTTGACGGAGGCCGACCACACCTGTGGACGACTGGGGAGTCGCATGACGGAGCCCCGCCGCAGACTCTGATCGATCGACCACTCCGCCTTCAACAGTCCGCTGCTCGTTGTCGTCCTCCGATGACCCCCCCTGGGCAGTCTCTCCCGTAACGGCTCCCAACTCCGACCTCGCAGCCAATCTCCCCTTCACCCTCCTCGAGTACTCTTCTCTCGGCACAACACCTCGCAGGCGCTCGACATCGCATCGCGAACCCTTCAAGAAATGGTCCCTTGCCCTGCTCGCTGTCCCGGCCACAGGCTTGTCACAATAATTGCAGATCCGCTGTTTGTTACCCTTGTCGGCTCTGCCGCTGTCACCCACTTCTGTGAAGTGCTTCTTCACGGCCTCACTACTGCTCTTCGTCATCCTGCAACGAAACGACGAAAGCAGAAGGAGCAATGCTGGTTAAAGCCAGGTCATTCAACAACCCTCAATGCTCTCCCTCCCTCAACGCTCTCCCTCGTCCACTCTCTATCCGCATCCACCGGTCTGCTCAAACAATTAAGCAAACCATCACCCCCTATCTCCCCGACAACAGCGGACTGCAAACGATCAACAACAACAAAAATCAATAAATCAATCAATCAATCAATCAATCAATCAACCAATCTCCCCGAACCTCCCCCCCAAAAGCTCGAAAGATAGGAGCACGACAACAGTTCGCTACAAAGACCGACAACAACAACAACAACAACAACAACAATCAATCAATCAATCAATCAATCAATCTCCCCGAACCTCCCTTCCCCCCATCTTTCCCTCTTCCCCCCTATCTCCCCGAGCCTCCCACCCTCCCTTGTCTCCCCGAACCTCAGTCCTAACACCGCGGGTCTTCCCCCTCCCTCCCGAACCACCTCCCAGACCTCCCCCCCGAAAAGTTCGAAAGATAGCAGCACGACAACAGTTC